TATATAATGAAAAATTGTACCATTCATTTGCTATGCACAGTGTATATCTTCTAGGTCAGATTTTGTGGTAGTTATGCTAAAAAATGCCAGAATTTAAGAATACTTATGAGCTTGGAAACAAGAGGTAGTAAAATGGTAAAAGTTCAGCATGAACTTTCAAGGCAATCACTTAGGCATGGTTATTATACGATTTCAGGCAAGTGGGAATTGCTAATTTTACACAAGACAGGAAGGGAGAAGCTGCTTTTGTTGATGAGAGAAGTCCAGAAAAATTATGGGGAAGGCTAAAGTTATTATATTCATCAAAGTACACCCAAATATATCCATTACAATTACTAAAATCCCATTTTTTCACCAATGCTATAATTTAATGTTAAGCACACTACCAAGCCTGTGAATTCAGTTTGCATTGTAATTCAATCACTTACACAATCAGATTTCAGTTTTCACCAATCTCACTATGGGAATTCAAGAAATAAGAAATAAGAAACTTGAAGTGGGAATTTAAAACTCTGATCCTGTCATTTTCTTTCTCTAGTTTCTCCATTGCACTTATATAAAGTGGCATCTATTGCCACAACTACTTTGTCTTTTAAAGTTTTGCTTTATGAGACTTTGGACTTCAGGCCAAATAGTTTATAATAAAATTGTAAAGATTACTGGTCTTCTTTGTTGTCATTCATTAGGATAGGAGAGACTGGAATACAACCAATTCAAGAGCTAAGTGGCTCTTTGTGGGCAGGTTATAACTTTGGTTTAGGACATATAGAACTGGAGGTGCCTTGGAAGTGCTCAGCAAGGATGCTGTGCAAGCAGCACACTGGGTCACACTATGTAATTTAGGAAGGCTCCGAAGGGTTCTAATGGCTCTGGGCAGTTACTCATTGCTGACAGCCACCAAGGATGGTTAAAACTCCAGTAACACTCAATAGGAACTTTAAAAATGGAGCAGCCTTATATAGCAATGCTATTTTTCTGCTTTCCTATTTCATACCCTGAGGCAATCTGGTTCAGGTGAGCTGCTCTCCCCAGGGATATTGCCAGAGACTGCAATGACAATCTTTATTTTTTTTCCTGGATTTATTAAGCTTCAGTAATTAAGGAGCCTGGAAAATCCATATATCTCCCGATATCCCATGGGGATTGGCCTGATCTTTTCTAATTGTAGGTATTGTGAGTGACCGGAAGTTTCTCACACAATATATGGGAACTCATTAAAAAAACCACTAAAGTGTATAAAATTTCTATCATTTGTAATTCTCTAAGGAAGAGTCGTCTCTTGCCCTCCATTTATTTATTTATATCCCTATGGACCTAGATGTCTTTGTTTTGTATATTGGGTTATAACCCATGCTACTTTATTTTGTTGCATAAATTGTTCCTATTTTGGCCTTAGAGACAGTTTTGTTCAGGTTGGCTCCTGGGCCCCTATAAAGTCCCTCTATCCTTTTATTTCTAGAGTATTTATCCACTTTGTGGTACTTCAAGATGTTCATGGTTCGTCTCTGGTTCACCCAATGGGAGGACGGCAGTTAGACATCAAGATCTGAACACTGCTGTCACTTGCCTTCTGCTTGCAGGGCACCCTGTACTGGGTGTGCCTCATCATGAAGTTCTGCTGCTAATCAAGCCTATCAATTTTTGTTCATCTGTCCGTTTTGAACTTGGGCTGCTATAGTTTTCTCACATGCATGTGCTGATCAACCTTGTGTTGAAAACCAAAGGAAATCCTCTGAAGATCTCTAGAGCTTTTTCCCTGAGCAGTTTTCTATTCTCCATGTAGCTGTCTCAATTCTGGTGATCTGTTTCCAAATTTCAATCTGCCCTGGCCTTGCCCAATTCTAAAGTTTATTTTCTCAAGTTGGAGACTGACCATTGGGCTCATTTTGCTTTACCTTTCTTATGCTTCCGCATGTGAACACTGCAGGTGTGATCTTAGGCAATCACAGAATAGGGACACTTCATTGATGATATCAGAACCTCGAAATCCCAATATGCCCCTAAATCCTTTTGGTCTACAGGAAGTCTCACTGCTGGCAACTGAAGACCAGACCTCTACTCTGCAACTACTTAAGGACATAGAAGGTGCTGCCTTGAATGTGAAGATCCATCTCTACCTCTCAAGGTAACCTGGCAGTGGATTGTAGGGAATTCTGGTAACTTGGGAAAAAGGTTATTTCCTGAAAGAGTTGAAAACCCTCATCAATATATAGTGACTAGATCCTGAGGATAGTTCAATGAGAGAGAGAGAGAGAGAGAGAGAGAGAGAGAGAGAGAGAGAGAGAGAAAATATGAATATGAATCTGGCAGCATCACTGGGGAGGACAGCTCACCTGAACCAGCCTGCCTCAGGATATGAAATAGAAAGCAGAAAGATAGCATTGCTATATAAGGCTGCTCCATTTTCAAAGTTCCTATTGAGTGTTACTGGGAGTTTTAACCATCTCTGGTGGCTGTCAGCAGTGTGTGTGTGTGTGTGTGTGTGTGTGGGTGTGTGTGTGGGTGAGAGAGAGAGAGAGAGAGAGAGAGAGAGAGAGAGAGAAGAAACAAAGTCACAATCCTTTGCCTAATTTCTGACTTGAGTCATTTTCAGACTTCAAACCCATTGATGGAAAAGAAAGACTGGATCCCTATTCATCAAAGGTGATTTAGCTGCTGCCTTTCCTGAAGATCCAACAGGTCAACAGTGACTGCAGATAAGTCACCACCTCTTCCAGAGACAAATCAAGCATTTGGTGACAGCAAATCTATTTGACATTTTTCATTCTGGAATGGACAGTGTCTTGACTGGAAATGATACATATTTGTGGAAGGATATGCCTTTCTTACTTCCTTGGTCAGCACCATTATTTGAGGGTTTATATTTTTTGACCTACTGATAGTCTTTGATATAGAACATTGCTTACAGTCATCTCAGGCCAGGATCATCTCAGGATCCTGTCTATAGCAAAGGAGACACAACCTGTGAAACACGATCATAGTTCTATCACAGAACATACTACTCAGAAACTGTTGGCCTGATGGAGCAGTGGTCTGTCTAAAATCCAATTTTTAAATGTTTTTCATATATAAATGGAGTAGAATTCTTCATTTTCCTGGTTGTATATGATGTAGAATCCCATGGTCATGTAGTCATATATATACATAGGATAATAATGTCTGTTTCATTCTACAATTCTTTATACCCCATACTTCCTATCCTCCCTTCACTATCCTCTACCTAATCTAAAGTAACAGTATTCTTCCCTAGTACTGCCCCTTCCACTGTTATTGTGAGTTAACATCCACAGAATAGCAGTTATCAAGACTACAAGCAACATTAAATGTTGGCGAGGTTGTGGGGGAAAAAGGCACACTCATAAATTGCTGGTGGGACTGAAAACTGATGCAACCATTATGGAAAGCGGTATGGAGATTACTCAGAAAACTTGGAATGGAACCACCATTTGACCCAGCTTTCCCATTCCTTGGTATATACCCAAAGGACTTAAAATCAGCATATTACAGTGATGCAGCCACATCAATGTTTATAGCAGATCAACTCATAATAGCTAAACTATGGAACCGACCTAAGTGCCCTTCAATAGATGAATGGATAAAGAAAATATGGCATACATTCACACAAAATATTACTCAGCCTTAGAAAAGAATAAAATTATGGCATTTGCAGGTAAATGGATGGAGCTGGAGAATATCATGGAACTAAGTGAAATAAGACAATCCCCCCAAACCAAAGGTTGGATGTTTTCTCTAAAATTTAATTTTTAATAATGACATATTGTACAAAGAAAAACATTAAGTATTACACTGGTTTTCTAAAGAGGTGTCGATTATAACCATTATAATTCATATCATACTGATAATTTCATTCATGTGCTTTTATTACAAATAGAAATTATCTCTCTTAAAGTGAATTTATTGGTAGATACCCCAAAATTCACAGGATAAATGCAAAGCAGAGTGTTGAACAGAAATGATAGGAACTAGTAATGGTAAACTTAACATATAAACCATTTAATACCAGAGTTCTAATATCTTCACAGAGGAATCAACTCCCTGTATTTCTCCATATCTTGATTCATTGTGTTCAAATATCAAAGTAGCTGGGTAGAGATACCAATTACTATTGCTTACTTGTATTTTTACATCGTGCCCTTTGATAAGCAGGAAGAGGTCTGATCTACCAAAGTCCCTGGGGTTCTCTTGGTCTTCATAGTGGGAGGGCACTCTTATTTACGATGTAAACATGATAGCACACAATGCGGCAAGGGGAACTACTTAAAGGAAACCATGCTGCTATTAGTCAAGGGAGAAGTGGCTACCATATGACTAGAAAAACATAATTTCCCTCTGATACACATTTAACTAGCATGTATATATATATATATTTTTTTTCTTTTTTTTTCGTTTATTTTGGTCAATGTACAATTTGTGTTCTGGATATATTGATGAACAAACCTTACTCACTTCAGACACCATCTTCTTTCCCATCTGCTGCATGGAGGTTGGGCAAAGAGACTGCTTCCTCACTGCCTCTGGTGGCCAACCTCTCACTGCCATTGGGGGCAAAGCTGGTTTCTGCTGGGCATGCCTGCAGTTGTCTGTGATGCTAATGGGTTTCAGGGCTTCTGATGGCCACATTATGTGATGTCCTCATTAAGCCAAAATTTCCAACAATCCATGCCAAAATTCTTCCTTACCGAAGAAATTTTTTCCTATTGTTTAAAAATCTTGTTTCTCTTGGAGCAGATTTAAAAAAAAAAAAATCTTGAACCTGGACACTGAAGGGATGCTATTTGTGACAGCAAAAATAACTCTATTGGTTTGTGCTAAGAGCGCTCTTTGAGGGAATATGGAGGTCCTCAGGGTGTACTAGGACCCAAAGGTCTGTAACAAACTTTCTCACACATTGCAGGCTGTCCCCAATCCCTGTACTCCTTTGGCCATCTCCTTCTCTCTTTTATTGTCACTGCTTTCTCCCCAGCAGACCTTAACCGGTTTCTGTTACCAAAGACTTGTGGTCCTTTCTTGCACCAAGGCCACTTATTCAGATTACAAAAATAACCTTTCTTGTACAAGAAAGTTCAACAGGGGTCTTAAAAGTTCTTCATTGCTGATTGTGTTTGAATTCATAAACATATTATCTGTAACTCGACATTTTAGGTAAGATCTAGTCTATTTTTATGGAATAAGCTGAAACGCAATGGTAAGAAAATACTAGATGGTTGGCAGAAAATTATTCAAGCGGTTCATGTCTCCCTCTTCAAACTAGTTTCAAGAGGGTAGTGAAATAGAGAACCCTGAAAGGAAATGTGTTTTGCTGAAGGACAATGAAATCATGCTAAATTTAATGAGAATGCTTTTAAATTGTTCCTATTTCCTCTTTCAGGTGATGCTTGAAACACATTTATTCTATTCTCCTGATACTATGACAGGAAAGAAATTGTATTATTACTTCAAATACCTAGGGAAAAATAGCTGATTACTAGTTTTAACTTTCAGAATATTCTCAAATCATGCTCTTAAAGTGCATTTCTTTGCCTTATTTTCAGTGACAGAGAAATAAGGCCACCGATTTCCATTATCGTTAATGACTGTTGTAATGATTCCATGCCTGATGCTTTTGATTTTTGTTTTAGAAAACACACCTACTACTGAGACTAACTCTCTTTATTGTTCACTCTAAATTTCCCCTGAGACATGTGTTTTTTTTTTGTTTGTTTGTTAAAAACACATAAATAAGAAAATAAATAAATAAAGTTCATTCTTTACAGTTAAAGTGAACTGATGCTAAATTGATAGGTCTCCAGCAGAGGAATACAATAAATGAATATGTAGAATCTTTACTGTATAATGCAATATCAATAATTAGAAAACTACTTAAAAATAAAATATGTAGCTGGTTGGCATATGCCTGCAATCTTAGTGACTTGGCAGGCTGAGGCAGGAGAATCACAAGTTCAAAGCCAGCCTCAGCAACCTAGTGAGGCCTTGTCTCAGAATAAAAAAAAAAAAAGGAGTGGGGATATGGTTCAGTAATAAAGAGCCTCTGGGTTCAATTCCCAATATTACTACTACTACTACTACTACTACTACTACTACTACTACTACTACTACTGATGATAAAATAAAAATGACTATATAAAATCAATGAGTGACTAAATACAAAGTTTATATAGACAATAATTGAAGGCACACCTGCCAGATCCTTGGCTGAGGGGGAAGGATTACTTGAGACCAGGAGTTCAAGGCTAACCTGGGTAAATAGTGAGACTCTGTTTCAAACAAAAGAAAATAACAACCAAAACGAAAACAAAAATGATAACCAAGAGTGAATACAGTATGTAACTGATTTTTGCATTTATGGGGATTTTATAAGCATTAAAATTAACATTTTGGTTTTTGATATGCCCTTTTTTGGAAAATGTTAGTGATAAATTGCTAATTTAAGAACTTACTAAACTTATGAAAAATCATTTTGTTCTTAATAATCTGCTGTCAGTAGGATGTGAGCTTTCAGTTTTCCTAATTGTTAGTAGCCATTTGACTTGAAACCATCCTATTTCATGCCAAATTCATTCACCTTGGGATTACATTAGCAAGGATGTGAGGTAACTAGCCATAATTATTGTAAACTCATAATTGCAGAATAGAACTGAGCACACATGAGACAGAGAAGCCAGGCTAGCCCTGGCTCCTCCATCCACCTCCACTGAGCCACTGGGCATTAGCATGAAGCCATTTTAAATCACTGAGGCTTGTCACGACATCAGGAAGAGCTGAGTCTCTCTCGGGTGAATTTCAGCCCTCATTCTTTGAGACTCCTTACGTCTTTATTAGCCTTTGTGTTCTCATAAGTTCCTGTCTATCTTACCACCAAGCTCTCCCAGGTGCAGCAGAAAGATAACTACAGGAAGATATAACGGAGACATTTCTCTTTCCATATGTATATATATATATTTTCCAAAACTGAAATCAGAACATGTAATTTCCTTGTTAGATAAAATGGCTTTCTATTTTATTTAAAAAATCTCAACTACTTATTGTGTGAGGAAAATGAGCTACAAATAAGATTGCCAAAACATTCTTTCCCCAAACAGTAGCATGTATTATTCTTATTCTTGAATCTGAACTATCCTGTGACTTGCTTTGATCTATAAAAATGGGATAGAAATTATCTCATGCTTGGGCATTGGAAGACTCTGTGCCATGAAAAGTCTGCTATCAAAGAAGTCCAACTCCATCACTGCATAGAAAGGCCATGAGGAGAGAGAGTGTGTTGGTGGCAAAGAGACTGTGAAGGGAGGGACAGGGAAGCCCTGCTAGTCTTGTCCCCTGCATCCTTCTGCACTCAGCCACCAAGAGTGAGTGTGATGCCATTTTGAATCTCCAGGTCCAGTTGAACCACCCTGGTGAACGGTGTATGGTGTAGGCAGGGAATCTGGACTATTCTGTGACTTGCTTTGATCTACAAAATGGGACATAAATTACCTCATGCTTGTCTGCTAAGCACTGTTCAATTTTCAAAATTATGGGAAAATAAATAGTTGTTGTGATTTGAGGCAGGGAGAATTGGGTGGTTTGTTGTATAGCAAGAGATAGCTGATGTATTGTGACCTAGTTTCTGTCTGCTCTGATTCCTGCCTGCCTCTCTAACCTTTTCCACCCACCTCCTGTAGTTCAGGCATTGGTAAACTAGAGCACAATTCCCAGATTCTACTTACATAAATAAAGTTTTATTGGAATATGTAATGTTCATAGCTTCTTTCATATGCCAACAGCAGAGTTATGTAATTGCAGCAGAGACTTAGTTTGCAAAGTCTAAATTATTTAAAATAGGTCCCATGCATTTGCCAATACTTACCTGTATTTCTAAAACTGTAAGATTAGAGTTTGGAATTAGTATGGGGAGAGACCTCTCACGCCTTCAGCTTTAAAAACATAAGTGCAATCTAGCTTTCCAGAGTTCCTTATTGCAATATACAGATTCAGAACATGGGAATTGAAACTTTTTTTCATTCCTCTCCATTATTTTTTATGTGTATCTCTTTCAGGGTCCTTTATAATACTGGCTACAATCCGGGACAGGAATTGATTATCTCCATATGCTCTGGATATAATAATATCTTACTATCAAAATCTCACTCTGGTTTCTAATATTTTCCCTAGTTTTATCAGGTCCAATGAATTTTCCAAGCAGCTGAGGAGCAATATCACATGGAGAGAGCAAGGATTAGCCAATCATCTCAACTCAGAAAGTGCCTGTCTACTTATAGGCAGACTCTAATAGCAATTTGAGAAAAAGATTCATCTTTGGAGACAGGGTAGACTTCTGCTCAAGTAACAAGAACATTGGAGTACTTGATGCTTCAGGGGTAGGATTTCTCAACATATGCTAAGTTCTAATCCTGTGTGAGTCTCACAA